TACTTATATGGATATTAGTACCTGAGTTTATATATCACATCTACTTCAACTGAAAAAATATCTTATTTTACTTCCCTAAAGGGCCTAGTGGTCATTTTGGCTTATGTAAGATACACAGCCATTTTTCAAGTGTGTTGACCATACAGCACGAAAGTTCATTTTAACACAGCACAGAGTTTTGTCCTAAACTCTGTCATCAATTAAAAACCAGCGTAGCAGTGATTTACCCTCCCCAAAGGTTTTAACTTGGGGACACCAAGAGCGAGTGAAGGTGCAGTCACAGTGCTGTAAAGGTTGGAGATGCTCAGAGCACCCCACGCGTTCTGCCCAATGCGGGGCACCCAACTGCTCCTCACCGCCATGAGCTGATGGACGCTCTCGCCCTGTTTGCTCAGTACCATATAAAGCTCTCAGGCTGTGCCGAGACCGTGTTGTGCCATTTCCTAATATGGTCAGGAAAGGGAAACCCCTGTGCCCAGATCCAAGCCTTTGAGATGGCATTTTACAGTCCTGTGCTATCCTTGTTCCTGTGGGGGAACTGAGGCGGCTTGAGCTGTCCTTAGACACAGCTCTGAGGTTAGGGCAAGGTAGCACTGCGCAGTGCAGCGCTCGCTCATGAACTGGGGGAATCCAAACAACTTACGTCCAAGTCATAAAGGACAAAAGTTCATTTGTTTCAGACTGGTGTCATTTCAAAAAATAGTAGCCAAAGGCTGACTTAAGGGCTGCAACTATCATTTCTTTTTCTTTATTTTTTGTGTTTGTTTACTTTGCTCACTTTTAGTAACTGTTGTAATATACGGCATTTCATCTATTATCACTCACTAATATTTCTGTTCCAGTTCAATAAGTTGGAGCTTCCTGAGACAAAGGATGTTTTTTAAACCTAACAGTTGGATGAATAGCCATCAGCTGGTGTCCAGTGTTCTTGCTTGTTTATGCATCCATTTTCACACGAATACCTTCAGTAAACTGAACACATAAAACAGATTTTTTTCTTGAATCTCTTACAGAAATTGTTGCTTATTGAAGGTATTCGGCCATTCTGATAAGAGATCTGTTTGGAACTGGAGTAATTTTTTTCAAAGACTCACATCAATCATTACTGCTGTGTGGTGGTTATATGCCCAACATAAACCCACTCTTCCGATCTAAGATTTAAGAATTTGATATCTGCCTGAGCAGATAACATTCCAGCACACAAATACATGTATAAAGGAACATTCTGAAGCATTGTAGTCCCTAGCTCATCACAAATAAAGGTGATTCAGTACATACAAAAACAACTGAAATAAAAAGAAGTGCAGCATTACATCAAAGCAGAGCGTTTCCACAAGCAGAAAAAATTACATACTTTCTGTCAGTTTCCTTATTAGAAACAATTATTTATGCACTTGGAAGCTGCACTCATACACATACATACAGAAACTGCCACTTCATTTGTCATACTAAATTGAGAAAAATAATTGTTTTTTGCTAAAATCCTGTTGGTTCAGTGCCGCTGATGCCTTGTGTCCCAGTCTAGATACAGTACACAACACTAATTCCCTTTTTTACTTGAATTTCATTGCAGACTTATTCAGGTCTCTTCTGTGTTGTGGTAAACCCATACAAACAGCTGCCCATCTACTCAGAGAAGATTATTGACATGTACAAGGGAAAGAAGAGGCACGAGATGCCGCCCCACATCTACGCTATTGCAGACACAGCCTACAGGAGCATGCTGCAAGGTAGGCAAGTTCTTAGAAATCACTGCGCTTTAACGTGAGAGAAAACAATGTACTGCTGCATGTGTGCTCCCTCAAGAAGCACAGTCAGAAAAGCTGTGATACACAGGGAGACATGGGCTTTCAAGAAGTTTCGGAGGAATTCTTTGGCAGGAACGGCACTCCACAAACACTGACTCAAAAAGGAAAAACAATCCTTTTACCCATCTGTGTCGAGGCATGTGGGAAGGTTTCAAAGTTGAGCAAATAGTTTTGGCAAATACGGGCATGGAAAACGCTCCCTTTGCACCAGTGGAGACTATTCCAAAGTTAGCTGCTAAGGCTGTTGTATCTGTCAGCATTGCTCCTCGCTCTCTCCTAGTAAGCAGATTGAAATAACGCTTTGGGGCTACTGTTAGTACAATGCTAATGCTTTGGAGTCTTGAGTTGAGATGTGCTCTGTTTTCTAATGGTACAGCAGTGGGAAAGCAGTCAGACCCCAAAGCATATAATGAGACCTTAAAAATAAGTAGGGAATTTCTGCTTTGAATACTGACAGGCTTAGGAGATTTTGTCCTAAAGAAAGATCATTCATTTAGAGATAAAAATGCTACAGCAATGACCACGCAAGGCTGCAATATCTACAGAATGCAGGGACGTGACTGGCTTCTATCTCACAGCAGCCTCGGATGCTCTGGGGAACCAGGAGGCTGCAGAACACTTTGAAATGTAAATCTCCATTTGAGGTCTGTTCCTGCAAAAGTTTTGCCCTACAGCTGTGGTTCAGCAAGATTTCCAAACTCAGCCCTGAAGCTTAGGGCTGCCTTGTTTTAAGTTTAAGGATTTAAGGGTATAGGGCTTATGGATTTTTGGTCTGACAGGGGAAAAAATGATTAACGGCATCTGAAATGTCAGTTTAGCTGCTAGATAAATAGCCAGCATTGACTTCTTAGCAACGTTTACATACAAACAGAGAACAGCAATTGCTATGGAGATACTAATCCATTCCAAACCATTTTGCACTTTATCTAACCGTGATCCTGGCACACATTGTGATCACAATGATTGCAGCACTCCTGTAGTTGAAATCTGAAAGAAATAAGTTGACTAGATCTTAAGATCAGTCTGTTCAGAACATTGCAGATGGTTCATGTTGTTGTAATTCAAGGCTCAGAGTAGACAAAGTATGTGATAAGCCTCTGTGCTGTCTAATTTGACCAACCACCTTTCAGACTTCTGCTGTCTTTAAATATCAACCAAATCTCTATTATTTTGGAACAAACACTACATAAGGATACACGCATCAATGGTGACAGATACCAAAAGCATAAAAACAGGTTTTTTCTCCCTAGAGATGTCTTGAGTACTTTATGTATAACTGCAGCGTTAACAAAATAACCCAGATAACAAAAACCACCTGAAGATCATTTACTTATGTAAGTTGATCAGCTAATTGTAACTTTGGCTTCTAACCTTAGGATCTTACATTTTCAGACACATAAATACTTGAAATATAATGAATTCAACTCTAAACTTTGCCTTAAAACATCAACATTTTTTTCTTCCTGTCACTTATGGTACATTTCTCTTCTGGAGCAGTACCAATTTTATCACCCACAGGCAGAAGGAGGCAGAATTACAGTGCAACAAAGGAGGATCAATAAAGCATCAATAACAGACGTACTGAAATCAGACATTCCTCCTTACTGTAACAGCAAAGACAGGTATATAAAAAAATGTTTAAGGCTGAGAGGACAGGTTTAAGCCTTTAGAATAACATGATGCATTGAATCTCATTTAGTGGAGCCACAGCTGAAAGAAACTTACTTGGTAGAAGCAGATCCTTGAAAGCTTCAGCCATCTATCTGCCTTGCAGATCAGGTGTTGATCTCTGTCCTCTGCATACAGCACTTCTGAGGGTTCTGAGCAGACCCTGCTGTCAAAGCAGCTTTCTTTCCTCAAAGCCTTTCAGCAGTGAGCCTCACGGGAGCTATGCAACTTCAGCAGTACCCTTCTCGTTCAGCACAGAACTCTGCTATTTGTCCCCAAAAGTGGGATGAAGGAAAAGTCAACTAAGAAAGTGCTGCAAGGTAGCGACAGGGGAAAAAAAGGAATGTCATACTGCATCTACTACTGAAAAATAAGGATTGTTTCAGTGTAGCTGTATATATCATTTTCCTTCTTAAACTGAAACTAGTTTCAGTTCTCTGCCTGATCCCAACATCATAAGGGCCTCTTTCACTCTTCCTCTCTCCTGTTGTTCCTAAGGTGGTCTTTTGAAGCCACCTGAGCATGATCACCCTTCGCTGCAGTCATTAACTACTTCTAGAACAGCCAGGATTTAGCTGTGCCTCCCAGGTTGGGAGGAGAAGGCAGTACAAGTGGATGCTTTCCCTTCTTTCTGTTCACTTTTTTGGTGCTTGGAATGTTCTGACTCCACCAATTCTTGATGGATCTTCATACCTTATGATTCATATGTCTTTTCTGGAGGAAACCTTCCTGATAGAAAAAAGGAAGGGGAGAACAAATAGGAAGGAAGGGGAAAGAAAGGAGGAGGGAACAGACCATAAGTTGAACTTCAAGAGAGACACTTCCATTACCTCCTCCTAACCACACACAGCTGGCACAGCAGCCAAACCCTTCCCACAAGAACTTGCATCACAAGCCCAGGACACCCACGCTTCACTTGCTTATTTACTTGCACATGCAGTTTTGGAGTCTCTCCATCTCTGAAGAGGGCCCCAGTTGCCTTTAAAGCTGAGCTTTTGTTTGGAAAAACAGACTCATGTTTTGTGCATAAAACTAAACCAAAGCTTAATATAACTAGTTATGTAGCCAAACTGTATTCATGCTGAGGTGGTGAGAGTGGGCAGCAACATAATAGAGTGCGTGTGTATGCAATCCATATGGACAGAGTGCTTCATGGGACTTTGTAAAGGGAGTATAAAGAGAGATTCGTGTTCATGAACTTGTATCAAGGCACTGAATGTTTTCCTTGAGAAATGTCAATGTTACTACTTATCTACGAAACTTCTTGCCAAACTAAAATATATCTTAGGTTCATAAGACTGAAGAATTACATTCTAGTACTCTCTGATCAGGACTCCCTGGCCAAAAGCAGTCAGCTTGTTCAAATCCTGGGCTACCTCTATCTCTCAACAAATCAAGCCATGGTATCTGCCAAGAGCTGGTCCTATTGCAAGTTCATCAGCTGGGGATCAGAACCCTTCACATTCAAACCCTCTGTTAGCACAAACTTCCAGCATGTGCTCCTCCTCTGCTTTCAAGACTTACTTGGTCAGTGTATTCATTAGAGATGATGTTCAAGTCCCATCAAAGTTGTTCTTGTAACAACACAGCCACTGTTAACAGAAATCAAATAATTGGAGACGATCATAAAAAAGTCCGCTTATATTTCTTTACTGACCTCTATACCTGTGTTATGGATGCAGTGGCTTCTCATTGCAGTTGCAATAGCACTGCTCAGTCGCTGCGCAAAGGGCTCAGCCTCCTCATCCCAATACTCCCAGCACCGTCCTCATGCAGTCTTCACATAGAAACGGCCCAGCTAATAATCATTCCTTGATTTTGCTAGCTTCATTTTAGGGTGGGTATCTGCAGCCTGGTGTGCAGTGTGGCTGCACGAAGGCATGATGCAGCACACGAGGGGGCACCATGGTGCAGGGCAGAGGAGCCAGAGGTGGGTGGATGAATGGATGGCTTCTGCAGCACTGCCAGATGCCAGTGATAGTAGTCCAGTGAGGGTGGGTAATTTGCTGCCTTCTGCTATTGTCTCTGCAGGTGGCAAACAGCAAATGTGTGATAAGCAGCACAAATAAGGAAGGTCAGGTTGTGTAGCAGTAATAACAGAAATATTTTTTCATGTGGAAGATTATGCTTTTATTACATGCTCTGAATAATACTGAGAAGACATATGGAGGCTTTCTTTAACTCCAAGAAGCTTATCTATTTTCTGCAAAGCCATTTTCATGAAAGCACTTTGTAAGCAAGCTTGAGTTAAAGATGGAAAAACAAACAACCTTGTATCTACTTGGAGGTTTGGGAGGAAAACACAGTTCCCAAGGTCCTAGAAAAGGAAGCTGCATGAAAACCCAGCTGTTTACTGTGTCCTTAGCAGGACCATACAGAAATGTTCCCTTTAGTCAGGGCTGTTATTAACAAATGTAAAGAAGCAGTGAGTGAGTGTTGGAGCTTGGCTTCAGTCTGTTCTTCCCTTTTATGGTAAAGCTGTCAGCTTGCTGCTTCATTGTGATAAACCATCTGATTTTGTTTGTGATTAAGCAGAACTAGCGTGTCTATTGAGAACAGAGGGGCATATGATTCCTACAAGCAAACTGGAGGTGTTTGGTGAAAAAGTGTAGCATATTCCAGAAAAAAAAAGTCCATTTCATGGTCTTGGAACTTTCTTGGTCATGGAACTTGATGGGACTTAGGAAAGCTGGTGGATTTTAGACAGTGAAGTATGTCTGCTTACTATTAAATATTCGGGAGAAAATCCAAAAATGTCCAAAATGTTTAATATAGACATACAGGGGGTGAATGTCTTCCAAGTAGTGTATTTTTTAAAAAAGGTATTAACCATAGAGATATTGGAACATACAAGATATTTTGTTACTTTGTGAGCCCCAGAAACTATGCTATCAAGTTTTATTTTGTGCAAGTGATTTTCTCTGCTAAATCTACCCACATAATGTTTCAGTGTCCCAAAACAGGGCAGAACCCTTCCTATAAAAAATAAAATATTTTGGAACAGAAATAGAAGCAATCAATTTGGAGAGTCCTGGAAAACAAATGAGGCAGGCATTGCAGCTCAAGACAAAGCAGAATAGGATTTGGTTTCCTGATTTCATCCTTACCTTTGCAGTATGTTGAAACTTTTGAAGGAAATGGAGCAGTGTTGCATATTCTCCCTCCATGAATGCACATTGGCCAGCATGTCAGTGGGAGGTTTTGCAGGTCAGACTGCACAACTTAGCAACATAGGGCTTATTACTGCAGGACTTTATAAGGCTGCCAAGTGCTTGGGGCATTAGGAAGGGATAAGTCTGGTGACCAAGAGCGGAGTCTTTTCCTTCTGCTTCCTCACAGACTTCTCCAAGAAAGCCGTAGGGCTGCCTGCTTACAGGGAACAATCGGATTGCACAGCTGCGGTCTTCGAAGGCATTCAGGATTACAAGGAAAAGATGAAAAAAAAGAAAAAACAACATAGTTTTTCTTTTCTCTCCAAGAGCTCTGAGTAGCCTTCAGGCTAATTGTTATCAGAGTCACACAGTGCACATGCACAAATGCCTGTGGTGCATACCTTCGTATACAACACGATCAGTAGGGGTATATCACTTACTGGGAAGGGAAAGGGGGAGCAACAGGCAGAGAAATGAAAAAATACTTGGCTTGCAGGAATATTACTTTTTCTAATGTCCCCTGAGCTCAGAATTTCCACTGGCAACTCTGTATCAAGGAGTCACTTTTATTTTCTTTATGATATTTATGGGTTTGTGATGTAACATCAATATATGCCAATGGTTTCTATTTACACAGCAGTGTATTTTTAGCAAAAATTCTACTGCGTTCTCATTTTTTCAATTTTAAAGAAAGCCAAGTTCAGTGAAAAATAAACACTGCGCACAGCTCCCCTCATCCAAAATGTGTATGTGGAAGAGTCCTGCAGTGTTGACAAATCCTCCAACAGCAGTGTAATGATTCATTTTGTACCAATTTACCAACCAAAGCAGTTAAGTGGTGCCATTTTCTGAGCAAGGGATCAATGAAGCAATTGATGTTACAACACCGGTTTGAACGTCCATGAGAAACTGGGAGTAAATACAGTTATTTAGTATCGTTAAGCCAAAGCAGAACCCACTACTGCTTCTCCTAGGCTGGCTGTGGTCCAGGCAGCAATTACAAATTGTAAGCTTAATAGGCTGAATTTATCTCTATTATCTTTGTGCAGCACAGAAAGCTTGTTTATCTCATGCCATTTATTACATGCAAGGTCAGCGATAAGGGTAAGCAACCAGATAGGTAGCCCTGCAAGTCATCCAACTCACAAAATAAAATGAGGAACGGGTTTGTGTCTTAACTTCTGCCCAGAGGCTTCCCTGGTCTCATGCTCACTCTGCATCTGGTGGATAATACATAAATATACAGACACGTTTGCTTCTGCCTTATTTAACTGTCTGCTTCAAGTCTCGGGTTTATAAGCCAAGCACACAATTCAAATATGCATTTGACCAACTTGGGAATTTGTTTTCTTATTCAGAAGATTTTTCTACAGTCTGTAGAAGGCAGTTTGATGCAGCCTCTTGCAAAGGAGGGCCAGTTTCAGTGCCATGGAAGTTTCTCATAGCCTTAATCAAGTCTGTTTGTAAATATGTCCAAGGATGGAGACACCACACCTTTCTATATGACCTCCTCTGGTGCTGAACATTTCCAGTTTTAAAAAAGGGTTCTACTTCAGAACTGATCACAGCAAACATGCTAAACACACATCTTGCCATAGAGGCCAAATTGTAAAGCCTGTCAGTATCACAGACTTTTCTGGAAGTCTTCTTTCAGTGGAGCTTTGGGAAATACATTAGTGTTACGGAGCACATTATGAAGCCTCAGTGTGTGTTCACTATCACAGCCTAAAATCCTGAGATCAGCCTTTTGGTAGAAAATTCTGTGCAAAAGTTCTGAAGGTAAAGAGAAGCTCCAACTCCAAATACATGAAAAAGGGAGACACGTGACAAGATGTGCTTCTAAATCATGCTGCAACATTACGGTGTATTGAACTGCAGCACAGAAACCTCTTACATGCCTTACACAGTAGAAATAGAGATTTTGGCCCACCTTTTTATAAATTTTCATCCAATATATGTTTGACAATTCTGTTCATGGTAAAGCATGAAGAATACTTACGTTCTTGTTGATATGCTGTTGTAAAAAAAATGTATCTTGTTTTTCCTCAATCTTGAGGATACCTCACAGACAGAAGGATATGTCTTGAAAAAAAGGCATTTCTAAATCTGAAATGAAATAGAGAGAAAAGAGCATTCAAGGGGGATGTGGCTCTGAGAGCAGCCTGGTCTGGTGGTTGGTGACCCTGCACATAGCAGGGGGGTTGAAACTAGATGATTATTGTGGTTCTTTTCAACCCAGGCCATTCTATGATTCTGTGATTCTATTTGGACTGCTGTGCTTTCAAAATCTAATGACCACCATAAAATGTCTTGGTTTTTGATGCCTTATCTGTCCAGACTTTGTCTGAAGTGGGCTGCTAGCCATATTTCATAAGCATAATAACGACTCAAGTTTCAGACTTGAAATTATCAATTATAATCTTCTTATAGGGAGTCTGATCCTTTTGCTGTCCTCATTATAGTTCATCTCTCACAGAATTTACAAAAAAATATTTTTGAACTCCTAACCTTTTGTTCATTTTTTGGTACAAAATATTTCCATTAGAGATCCTTATTTAAATATGATGGCAAATTAAATAAGATGTGAACCCTGTGCTTTTGACTAATTGTGAATTGTCAGGTTTTGAAAGGTCTAGATTGCTCAATGTAAGTCATTATAAATGTAAGTACTTCTGACAGGACTTAGCTATTTTCCCTAATTAATGGATTTTTTTCTTTATTCACAGACCGAGAAGACCAATCTATCCTGTGCACGTAAGTAAACTGTTGTTTTGTTACATCTCAACATTACAATGTCATTCCTTATGCAGAATCAATTGAAATTCTGGTGGAACTGATATATTCTCACCTTCAAAGAGCTTGATCTGCAGTCCCAGTAGAAGAGTTGCCTGTTGACGAAATAAGAAGCAATATCAGTGCCCTAATATGTGTTCAGTGCACAGTTCTCAGTTTAAACTGACTTTGAATTCAGAGTTTACTACAAGAAGTCGGGGACTGTACTTGTAGATTAAGTGGTCCCTTAAGGAAACTGAGAAAACTGAGGAACATGGAGAATTCTGGGTATTAACTGAGCTGCTTTTCATTCCTGCCCGTCAGCAGCATGCTGTCATATCCTCAATCCGTTGTCATTTTAAGAAATTGATCTTTTCTGTTCATGTGATTTTGGGTTGTTTGCATATTGTGTAGCTGCAGCAGCCAAGGCTTGGCAATTCCATGTGGCACAGCCCACCTGGAAGCCTGTGTGCAAAGCCATGGAGTGTTGGCTAAGTGCACACTGCACTAGGGGAAGCTTTCTGCAGTCTTCATGTAATCGGTTTAGGCAATAGCAAAACACCAAGCCAGCCCTGTTCTGAAAGCCTTGACTGTTCTGAGTCCTGGCTTGCTGACGTTTTCCTCTTTGAGTTCTGACCTGCCATCAGTGCCAGATGTTGTGGGGGCAATTAGTGTAGCAGGGGTCAGATGGTGATTTTATTGCAATAAACTTTGCTATGTGTGACATACTGCTCCCCAACATCCCCTTGGTTTATCATTCCTACCAATTTTTGCAAAACACTCAGACTGTTCAATTGGATGGGGATCTTCTATGTAACCTTCAGCTTTAACGACAACCACATTCCTCTATGGCTTATGAGTTGGTTTTATTTACTTGAGTGCTATTGAAGACGCTTTTGACATAATTTGATGTTTGTTGTATTACACATCTACCAGTTTTCCTGAAAAAAGATAACATTCAATTCATGTAAAAACAAATAATTGTTTGCAGAAGATGGCATGCATAGTATTGATAGCAGGATTATACAGTGATGCTGTAGTCAGTCACAGATTGCAAATACATGTCATAGTTCCAAACTGAACTGGTTTTGGGATGTTATCCATAAAAATGTGGCTACTGCCTATTTTTTTTAGAAAACAGTGCTACTGACCACCAGCCATACAGGTACTGGTGAGTGCCAGTGCTGGCTGGAACAAATTCATCATGCAAGAAGTAGACGATATGTTCTGTACCACAAAGACTAGCATAGCTCTGACCTTTCATAAACAGATTTCACTGACATGCAAGTATATCAGTCACGAATCTGTCCATATATGCATGAAAACCAAAACAAATCTAAAATCAATGCAGTGTTGGAATAAAAATTGACCATCACTCTCTTCCCAGGATGAAACACGTCATGGTAATGGAGTCTAATTTAAACTGTGCATTTTGTCCTTCTATTCCTGCACCTTACGTTATTATTGTATCACTAACACTTCAGATCTTTTAATCTTGGAATATTAAGATTTCTTTTATTTTCAGGAAATTTCTTTTGCAATTCAATTCCTTTTTGCTTATAAAAAAATCTCTTTTTTCCTCTTCTTTCATTTCTTTTTCCATTTCAATTTCTTTTTTTTTCCACTTCTGATGGCTACAAAATATATTGAATATGAATACTTTTTTTTCCCTTCACCTGGGAGCTGAAAACATAAAGCATTTCACACCACTAAAACATAAAATAAAGAGAATGAAATGTCTTTTCCATCTGGAAAACAATCTTGTTTAGAATAGCTGCTGCATGTTGGATTGGCATCATGACCCATAGCTTGAAAAATTCCTCTCACTGGCTTTTAAAATCAAGATTATTTAAACTAAAATCAATATACACAGCTTTAAGTATTAGTAGTTTATCCTATGTTTTGGCCTTATTTCTCTGTACAGAAACAAGAAAGTTCACTTAGCTTTCAGCTGGACAGCTCTCAAGTACAATCAGTTCACAGTATTTTATAATTACTAAAAATTCCAAGAGATTATCTTTTTACCTAAAATATAGACCAAGAACTGAAGAACTCATGGCACTGATCACCTGGGATCTTTTCTTTCCATAGCTATAGACTCAAACTTTCCAAGGCTTGGCACCTAAATTGTGAAAAATGTAGCTGTAAGGATTCATATAGAAATAGTTGGGGATGCTGCCAAGAGCTCATCTACTTTTTCTTTAATGCATGCATTTAGATTGATTAGCTTCTATCAAAATGTACAGAGCAGGGTAGTGTTTGCACTTCATTTGGTACAGCAACAGACAAAATTTTGGGTTAGGCAGTGACCATCCTTTACCCTCCCTTTTGGGGCGAACTCTCCAGAGCCTCACTTGGCTTCATTACCTCCACCTGCTTTCTCTCCTGCTAATGTCAGGAAGCAGTCACCCGAGACATCTTCTGAATTGTGAAGTCTTGTTAGGCAAAGCCTCCTCTGCAAGAGAGCTAAACTCTTCTCTTTCCCAGCACACTAAATCTCAAAGGCTGGAGCTGGCAAGCAATGCTGTCTGGCCTCTCTCCCGCGCTGTTATCTTGTGCAGCTTTAGACCTGGGGTGGAGCTTGGTGCCGAACCAGCTCAGTCTTCTGAGATTTTTTTGTAAATAAACTTAGTGGGATCAGCGCGCTGGCTTCTGAGCGAGGTCTTTGGGGATTCAGCTGGTCTAGGACAAAGATTTTCATTATCTTTGCACATCTCATACTGCAGGATGAAGCCTGCCAAGCTCTAATGTGATTTGGAGCACCTCATTGACTGCTGTGTTCACAGAGGCTTCCCGCAGTGCGAGAGTAGCCAGATTAAGGGATGTGTGAATGGTCAATTTTTGTGGTTCATTGCTTGCTGAAACAAATCCTGCTGTTACTTTTTAGATGTTTCCAAAAGTGGAATTAAGCTAAGTCTTATATCATAATATTAATATAGAAAACTTTCAAGTTTTCAACAAGAAGTCCAGTTTTTTAACTACTCTTTCCCCAAACATGCAGCAGTCTTAGTTACACCCCAGCTACACCCCAGGTTTACCCCACACCAGTGCAGTCAGCTTCCCACTCTCACCTTGTGCTAATTTGGAAACCTATTCAAACAGAGATAATTTTCATTTAAGGTGAAAGCAATGGAGTTGTGGAGGATTCAATAGCACTATGTAAGTGGGCTTTTGTGCTTTAAATCAGTTACTGAGTTACTAAACAAAAACAAAAACAAAAAAAACAAAACAAAAATCTGGGCAAGAAATGAAGGAGGAATAAATGTAAAATATGTCACACAATGAGAGAGCATTGTTTCATGCTTTCTTTTTAGTGTAGCAAGCCTATAAGCCTAGTATATCTTTTCACTCTGGGAAAACAAGGCAGATTCTCAGGATGAAAACATGTTCTAAGTACTGCTGTTGGACTATCACAGCTGTGCAACAGTTACTGCTTTTCCTCTCTTTGTTTTTGCATTGCCCACCTGAGCTGGGTGAAAAGAAGTGCACTGGCAATAAATGCGCTGCTTCTAAGAATGGCAGCAATAAGATTTGAGATACTTCAGTTAAACAGATGATCCCTCTGCTCCCCAAAAAACTTAGGATAGAGGTAATAGACTTTGTACAGTGCACTCCTCACTTGGAACATGATTCAGGCTGCAGAACATTGAGGAACATAAACAACTAGAAGACGCCTCCTGAGAGGAACCCCACTGTGTGTATGGTCCATGCTGTAATCATGATGCTTGCAAGAATCAGGCCCTTATTTAACAGTTGAGTCACTGAGACTAAAGAGAGCATGCAGATTTAAAACAGATGGGATTCTTCATACCACCTCACAATAAAACTTGTTTCTGCCATCCCAGAAACGATGGTACTTCAAGAAAGATGCTGAGAAAAAAAAGCAGCGTGACCAGTTCTGCTGCAGCTCAATAGTTCTGGGAAAAGTTTAATTCACCTATGAAATCAACTGAGTCACATGCTCTCCTCCTCCTAGATATTTCCCCTTGTAAGCTTCTTTATGTTTAAAGGCACTGAACCTAATTCAGCTATTCCTCTTAATTAATTACTCTTCAAACACATTGGATTCTATCACTGAGATGAAGTCTAGACCTTGTCATACAGCTCTGCTGGATCCTTCAGCGTAATGTTGTTTAATGAGTACTTGTTTATCAGACTTGTGTATTGTTAGGGACATTTGGAGTGATTTGATGTGTTGAAAAAATACAGTATTCATCAGCTATAAACACGATACTTCATTACTTACTTTTTTTTCATCCTTATTGCTGTGAGATCATGTCTGTTTTCCATTTCGTGCTGAAACAGTTCCATTTCATGTTGAAGAATTTGTTGTTGTCCACTTCAAAAGGAATTTAAAAGCTCAAGAAGAATAGCTGCAGAAAATAGAAAACTGTGCAGGAGCAAAGAGTTAAGGAAAGCAAGCACAGAACAAAATGTTAAGTAACTAAAGCATTACAGTATGGTAGGATAATTACAAGGAAAATGATGCCTTATTTGGTAATACTCACAGGCATTCAGGGAAAAGCCAAATGATGGGCACCATTGCCCTGGGAGAAAGGAAATGCAATTCATGTAGTGATGAACTACAAATAACCTTTAATAAAATAGAATAGCTCAAAGCCTACAGTTTGTTTGAAGAATGCTTTTATTTTTTTCCAAAGTATCAGAGATGCAAGGTAGATTTATTTGAAAACTTTGTACGCATATGTCTTCAAATTGGTGTGCTTGGCTTGGAATTGTTCCCAGAACACTTAATTTTTATCAATAAAACATGGAAATGTTTTAGCACTGAAGTCCAGGGCAGGGATGGATCCAAACTCTAAACTGTGCAAATTAACCCAGGTCTTGTGAAAAGGAACCGTCTCAATTATTTCTGGTTAAAACTCTAAACGTTCCTCATCATGATGTGCATCAGACAGAAATTTTTTCTGGCTTCCTTAGGTTTAATCAATGTCATCACAATTTAAAAGTTCTTCCCAGCATTTACTCATATTTTTTTATGTCCATTTTTCACCAGTCCCTTGGTAGGAAAAATTAACTCCTCTATTTCCTAATTAGGAAACGAAGCACAACTGCAGTGGATCCAGCTAAACAGACTCAGTTTCAAAAGAGCTGACAAATATCTGTGGGACTTTTACATGTATTGTTCTTTTAATTTTTAAATTCATTTTAATTTAAATCCAAAGGCACAGAGGTTTGACTTCCATGCAGACTGTTGTCCTCACAGCACTAACTTGATAGAGTCAGAGGAGCTAAATTACTACATTACTACATCCACACCCACTTTCATGCCCTTTTTGACTGCTGATACAGGACAATATAAAAACATTCTAGTCCGTATCATCATCAGAGTCAAAGATATCTAGCAGAACTGAGATGATAAAATGTGACAAAGAGGGAAGAGTAGGCTGGAAATGTTCTTACTTCTGAGTAAAGACTGTAAATCTGGGTCCTTGTTCCTGTACTTTGAAAACCAGCATTTTACTTTATGAGAAGATTTGGAAGATGTAAATAAATTTAACCATGGAAGTCCTCTGGAAGGTGGAAAGTTACCACTGCATTCCTGCTTCCCTAGAGACAGAGCACAGCCAGGATGGCAGTTCTGCTGGTCAGAAATGTCCCCAAATGAGATGTTCCTGCTACCCTGTTAGCAGGGATGCCTCCAGCAGTGCCAGCTCTGGTCCCATTGAATTCATGGAAAGTTTGAACTTAGAAGTCATATAAGGCAGTATAGTTCCCTTATACTCCAGCATTGATATAACTTGCTTTAATGCCAGAATTTCCATCGAGAAAACTACTGTATTTTTGTTGATAGCTTTTTTTATTCTTGTACCACATTATAGTTAATGTTTTTTGTTGTTGTTGTTCTTTAAGTATGAGCAGACTCCCTGCCAGCCTCAGTTCTCATGAATGTTCAGGCACTGCCATAAAAAATGTTTTACAATTGCCTTAAATGGCCCAGTGTCCAGTCAAAACACGAATTGGACAGAGATACATCTCTGATACTGCGTTCTTTGCATGCTAAAGTCAGGTGGAATCAGAGAGACTGTGTTCTGGGATATTTACAGAGCCAGGCAGACTCCAGTCTTGTTTTTATACATGACGTACGTCGTATGGCAGAAGGAGCTCACCAGTTACCTAGCTTTTTTTGTGTTATTTTCTTTCCCCTCAGAGGTGAATCTGGCGCTGGCAAGACAGAGAACACCAAAAAGGTCATTCAGTACCTGGCCGTTGTTGCTTCATCACATAAGGGCAAAAAGGACACCAGCATCACTGTGAGTGAGCTCTTCTGTATTCAACTCTCCTTTTTGACTATTGGGACTGTATTGAGCTTATTGCTAACAGCAATTCAATGTTTGTGGCTTGCCAAATAGTTGACATATTAAGAGTACACAATTAGGTCACAGCTCTGTGTTTATGGAAAAAAAAATCTTTTGTTTGACATCCTCTTAGGCATCAAATCAGAATGTACTTTGTTAGAAGAGAAATATTCATAGTTTTCTATATGCATAGCACCTATTTATATCATAACATGAGAGACTTAAGTTCTGCAAGGGCTGGGGTCCTTATTCTACCCTTGGCTCCTGGAAAATAAGAAGTTTGGAAAAGCTTTTAATTAAAATATTATCCTTATGTTACAACACAAACACAAAAAATGTATAACAACTTTTAAACTCCTAAAGTATTGATGACTTTTGTTAGTGGGCATATTTTAGTGGGCATAGCAAGGTAGCTAAGAGTTCCAAAATATATCCTATTACTTCTTTTTGCTCCTTTGACACAGGAAAATGTTGGAAGGCAGATTTTAAATAAAGTACTTTCTTCAAAATCTGTAATAATCTTACCTTAGTGATTAAAGTTCATCATTTTGCTCTGAACTGTAATATTAGCTTAGTCGATGCAGTTCTCTGAGATATTGGTGTGGCTGAAGCTCTCACCTGTCTGCTGTTTTCATTGATGTAACTCCAGGTTCTAAGTCATTTCCAGCCCTTTTTATGCTACTCAAATACTCCTGGAAAAAATAAATAAAAAAATAAATAAACTAAAGTAGCAATTTACTTTTATGACAAAAAAAGCTTAATTAAGGAAGAGATGTCAGTGTGTCGCAAGTCTGAGTGAAAAATAAGGAATTAGTCGCATAGTGCAAAACAAAGTAAAAACCTCACAACCACACTTGTGCTGGGTCTTGTCTGTGCTGTATGCCTACATATAGAAAATTCCAAAGCACTGCCTTGCCTCTTCCACCGTGAATAACTGTTGTGCTTCAGGGAAGGGGAAGAAGTAGATGTCCCCTCAGGGCAGTACTTTCTAGAAATCTGTGATTCAAGTTGTTGGAAACAGCCCAATATCAAAGGCATAGTTTTCCTTTGTTGAATGTTTATGAAAAAAAAAAGCTTATTTCATCCAACTGATTCCTTCTCAGTGGCTGGGGGAAATGAACTTGTGGTTTCAGGGCCATTCCACTGAGTATGTAACTGTAGTTGCAGCTCGCTCCTCCAGGGAATTACATGAGTCTCAGGATTAAACTGGCTCCAAGACAGGCGCAAAGGCAAATATCCACCAGATGAAGGTTGAGAGAAAGTCTAAATTGTTCTATAATGTGTTGACAAGTGGTAATTCAGTGCCTAGGGCTACTGACACTGCAATTTCAGTCATTAAAAAAAAAATCAATAGCAAAATGCCTCCACTGCACCAGAGAAGAGCTGGGGATTTACCATAAAAATATCTGTTCCTGCCTGGTCCTGGGAGACTGACCTGGGACTGAATCCAAATCCCATCCCTTTACTTCAGGTCTTTTTTTTCTTTTTTTTTTTTTTTAATTCAGTTAAACTACTCCAATACACTACTTTTATTTGTACTCTTGGTATGTCTGCAATAGATTGTTTTTCTTTGTTTTTCTGGTTTATTTGCATGGAAACTGTGTATTGGTTATTTTAATACAGGAAAAACGATAAAAATGTCTGTGTAATGGAAATGATACTGACACTTGTTTTATACCACATTATTCAATACAGCAAGGTCCATCTTTTTCTTACGTGAGTAACTTAGACTGTTTGATGTGTGTTTAAGGCACTGAGTGTAGATCTGCATGCTATTGTTGCACCTCAAAAAATTTAAGAGATTTTGTTGAAATATGTTGTATGATATGATGAAAAGCAACAATAGCGCCAAATGCTCTCACAAATCAACCCTAACTGTGTCAGGCTCCATGATGAAGAATGAGGTCTGACACAGGCAGGGTCATCTCTCAAATATCACTCTCTTCTATATGTGTGTGTTTAAATTGCCATAGTTTGAATGAAATTTCCCACGATCCTGAAAGAGTCACTCAGCCTGAAATTGAGCAATGCGATTTCTGAATGAAAATATCTAAATGTTTTCCGTACTTCAGGTTGAACTTTCTAGGACTGTTGTGAAATAATTCCTAAAAACTCACGGTGTTGATTGATTTGTTTGGCTGCATGCTTTCCATTTGATATTGCTTTCAATTTTACATTTTCATGTAACTGTTGAGGACTGTTCACATCCGCAAAGGTTAGCATGCTCCTAGCTTGCTGCTGTAATGTGTAACAGAGCAGTTCCCACTGCAGCGTGTGTCTGCAGGTATGTTATGGCAGTTTGTAACAGGCCCTCGTGGGCCCTCCTGCACTGTGGTGTGCCATCCAGCATATCAGGACTTTGGGAATATAGGCAGGTTTGCTGGCATATACTGTTCGTTTGTGTGCCAGGCAATTCTTTGTATTGTCCTTTTTCCTCCATTCTGATTGCTGGTTCTCAGACCAGCTATGACAAAGTGTTGCCCCTTAATTTATTTATTATTCATTTGACAAGCTCTCTGACAAAAACTAAATTCATTGCTGACCCAAACAACTCCATGGAGTTCAGTGGACTTTCTTCATGCCCTAGCTCTCCAAACATCTGCACTCTTGGGAAGGTCCTCGTTCTGTCATTTGTAGATAAGTTTAGTCATTTGTTAAGAAACTCTTGTTTTTTTATTATATTTTTGAGGTAACTCTCATCATTCCCATATAAATCACAAGAAATTCAGAAATGGTTATTCAGAAGGTTATCAGTTTTGCACCCTAATTGGGAAGAAATGTCATTTTCCAAATTGTTGCCTCTGGATTCAACTTAAATATTGACTCATTTTTATATTAGAATGATTTAAATGGTATCATATTATCCATCAAGGACTTTTTTCTGATGTTATTCAGCATGAGTTATTTAAAATGGGGCATGCTACTGTAAAGTAGTCCACAAGTATGGTGAGAAGAAGCAAATGTGAAAGTAATTTTATAGCACAGAGCTAAATGAAAAGTTAAAAAAAAACTGTCAAACCATCTTAGTAAGCAAAGACTTTTTCAGCTTCACTAGTTTGTTTATAAATAGGAGTATTAAATGCATGCTCATTTCATTGCATGATGTGTTTCCACTAGCAATTACCAAGCACAATTAACAACATAATAAAAGGTTTGTGTGTTTGCATGAGAATTCATTACCTTAGTTTGAAATAAATCAATGCACTTCCATTTTTTAACTTAAATAGCCTTGCATGGATCATTATTAATAGACTTGGTGAAATCTGCTTTGTAGCTTTGTGCTGCATTACATTAAAATGATTCCCGGCAAGTTATTCTAATTACATCGTCATTTGCTAGCAAAGGATCTCGATAAACTAACTTGAAAAAGATATGCTAGAGGTTCCTTTAAGAAAATCTTTTTAAAAATGACATTAAACTGAATATTATATATATATGATTTGTCACTGAATGACCCTCTTACTAAGAAAGACCAGTCATGATGCTAAACAGATTAATAGACTTTGATCTGCCACAGGCAACTGGGCTGGAAAAGGGTCATGTATACAGGACAGCACTTGACTGCACAAATATATAAACAGAGATTAACAGGGAATGAAAACAAATCCACAAGCAGTGCAGTCTTCAACAAAAAAGTTAGAGGCTTAAATTATCTTTCTCCACATTTTTCTCCAGCGTACATGAACTGTTTTTAAATAACTAATTATGAAGTTCAGGGTTAACTGAGTCTGAATGAATTTTAGGGTGAGCTGGAAAAACAGCTTCTACAGGCAAATCCTATTCTTGAAGCTTTTGGAAATGCCAAAACTGTGAAGAATGACAACTCCTCCAGATTTGTAAGTAGGAGAAATACATTTGGGTCTACATTGTGGGGAGGTACACCATTCTTTAAATCCGTGTACAAAGAATCACCCTCTTTCTTTCAGTACTTCTCTCTAAAAAGCTTCTCTAAACCAATCCCTTTGAATTACTGTTTAGAACTTCTCTCTGAAATAGGAATTTGGCCTTTAACAGGACTAAAAATCAATCTCAGACTTGACAGTACCATTGTTCTGTCACAGTTTATCGGTCTGTGTGTGGCCTTGCAAAGTCAACTACTGCTCCAGGACATATCATCATCCTCTAGAAATTTGAAAAGAAAATCTGTACTTCCTTTTTCTTTGCACCACTGTTGAGCATGCATCTTGTTGGAAGGCATTCCTGTTATTTAGCAAGAGTTGTTAATGACTTAAATGAAAGAGAGAAAGCATCTCACATGGATTCACATTAGAGTAACAGTAGATGGGAGCTGTAACTACTAGATGTTACTTTTTGTTGGGAGTGCTGGCAGATGTTCTTTTTCCCTGCAGGCCCTTCACTCCTACCTCTGCTGACTCGGTTGTAAAACCCCACATAACCTAAAAGAACAGCCCAACCTAGGTCTTCTTTTCCTTCACAGGGCAAATTTATCCGCATCAACTTTGATGTGACAGGCTACATTGTCGGAGCAAACATAGAGACTTGTATCCTTTTCTGTGAACAGCACTGGAAGCTAGAAGGAAGAAAGATAAACAAGCTGCACTGCATGTCTAAGAAAGGCAAATATTGCTGAGGCTGGTATAAACAAAGATGGAGGGAAGTGGTTCCATTTATGCTGGTACCAGATTCTCAGTTTGTCTTACTCTTGTGCTTACATTTTCAGATCTCCTTTTTCATCTATAGGAAAGTGTGCTATTCTCCACATCTAGCTTCCGAAAGTGGAGGAAATTGATTTGTGGTTGAGGTTGCATGTGATCTTGAAAGCTATGCAGTTGTTTTGTTTCACATCACAGGTACAATCCTGCATGGGTCAATCCAGTTCCCTGTCATCTACATTTCCAAATATAAAAAGATTTGAAGCTTTCCTGTTTCTCATCAGAGCTGTTATAGAATATTTGGGAGGAGAGGAAACAAAAAAAAAGACTGAGAATGTGGCATTATCCCTACAGTTTATCCAGGAGCTCAGAGGATGTTTCCCATTTCTCATGCCCAGGTTTGGTATTCCTGCAAAAAAAATGTATGCTGCACAAGGATAGATGGATTCCAATAAAAAGTGCAGAGAATAACCTGCTGAGGGAGAACCCCATACGATAATACAGCTTAGTAGTTTATGTCTGCAGCATAAATGGTCATCTCAACAAAAGTGATATACTTGTCCCTACCCCTATAAGAACTTGATAGCAGGAAAAATAAAAGAGACAGGAAAAGCTAAATAACATGGTGCAGCCAGAAGAGCTGTCTTTGGATGCTCTGTAGTTCCTCTCCTTTTGTGTAACTGAAGGACAGTTTACCTGAATCTGCCTTGATCTTTGCATGTTTTGTTAAATCACCATGGTCAGAAATTACTAATCTGGGAACTTGCATAACTGAAGTGAAGCAAATATTTTGCTGTTGCTGATGTCCCATATGGCATCAAGCAGTAGATATTTTCAGAGAACTTGTCTGCTCTGGGAACTAAATACAGACCTGGTCATTCAAGTGACATACCTAGAGCTATATATCATTGGCTCTGATGTGGGTTTTTTCCAGGAATAAAGTACAAGTATTTCAGAGAAATTAAACTTAGATTGACTTTACTTGGCAAGTACTGATGCCTCTTCCCAGGGTTATGTTTATGAGATAGTGTATAAATGGGCATGTAGCTAAATTCCTCAGTGCTGCATTGCTCTTCTTT